AGATGCAGGGGTATGGTTTCTGTGTTTTTTGGTGGGATTTTAAGTAACTGGTTTGGTGATATGACTGGCTCGGTGATAGAGTACGTTATATGCTAAACAATCACCTCCTCCTCTGTCTTGTCTGGCTTCCTTGAATTTAGTACAAACTAGGTTGTAAGGTAGAACATTGGTGTAGTCTTGGCAGAGTGATCGGCTCGCCTGTGTGATCGGCTCGCCCGTGAGGTACATTATACGGTACTATTAGAAAAGTTATTGGACTTAGAAGATTATCCCACACGAAGGCCCTGACATGTCAAATTGCCACGCGCAAGACACTCATGCGCATTGTCACTTCATGCCACAGCAGTCATCGCCATTGGTACTGCTTGCTTCAGGCTCGCCTTCTGTGCGCGTCTCGGTTCGTGAAACATGAGATGAGCGCGCTACAGCTGATTACCTCTCCTCTTAACGGTGTAGGTATAGCAAGATCATTACTTTTCGATATTTTATCTGACTTGAATTCACGTCACGGCGAACAAAGCAGCGAATGCGAAGACTGGGGACACGTATCTGAACGCTCATGCACGCTGCCCGGTAGAGGGCAACGACGATATAACTACAGAATGCAGGGAATATCATTGACCAGCCATCAAGATGCAATGTAGCGAACGCACGATTCTACACTCTCTTCAACAGCACACTTGCCATACTTGGTGCGATCATCTTCATTCTGATTTTCGTACTCACCTTGTTCAATGTCGAAGCTGTTCGAGCTGAACCATGGAACGCAGTTGGGATTGTCTGGACCGGATTGAAACAAATAGTCCATATTGGAGTCACCAATTGAGTCCGGCGCTTTCGTGCTAGGACGGGTCGCGGGAGTGGTCTTCGCGGGCTTCAAACGTGGCTATAGCGCTTGAAGAGTGTTTCAGTCTTGGGAATTGACATGGTGTGCAGCTCAAAAATGAAGCGCTCAACTTTCACTTCCATCGAGTTTTCAGGGCATCCCGGCGGTTCATTTAAGCTGAGCGCAATACGACTCTCAACAATCAACATTTTCTCATCCTTCAAATCTTTAGTCATCGCTCTCTATGATGTACGCGTACACCATAGTGAGTATTCGACTAGTCGTGAATATCTGATGCTAAGTTGCAGTACAGCCCACTCCACTTCACGAGATCCTCAATTACGCCCTCAAGAAGCTCTCAGAGTGGTCCGTACGCGATATGAGCGACCCAGAAATTGCTGTTTCAAGCTACGGCCTTGTCCGTAGAGGTCAGCAAGATGAGGAGAACATGCTGGCACTGGAGACCTAAGAGGACACCAGCAGCACAGACTGCCTGCCGTTCGAAGACAAGTTGTTGTGGGCTTCCTTGGGCATCGCAGCTCTCTTGCTGTTCTTGATTCTATGAAAGAAGTGTTTTCGTAGAGAGTGCACTCTCAGGAGGCATAATCAAGCTTCAATCACCCGCTCAACCCAATTCCCTTCTTGCAGGCTGTGCAGCACCCTCTCCATGTCTCCTTCCTCCAAGCACAGTGGAATCTCATAAGGCGCATCATCCCCCTTTCTTCGCGGCAGGATCTGCATGCCACCTTCCCATAGATTGTGCGGTTTGCGGATAGCAGTCGGCTTGCTAGCCCATCCCTCCCCATTCTGCTCCTTTGCCGTGCCAGGGATCGCCCATACAGTGTCAGCACCAATGTGCTGCCAACTTGTAATGAAGATATCAGGCCCATTCATGGTATTGCAATTCAACATAAGCTTCGAAGAATTCTTCTGCTTCGCCATCTCCAGCAAAATTGCTCTGAACCAGTCCAAATCTACCCCAGCTAGTGCATTCGAGAGCGCAAGGGCAACGACTGCTATGCCCTCCGCGTTCATGCTTCCAGAATTTGGGATCGACGATAGTGGCACGGAGACTATCATACCATTTGCGACATTACCCAGGTAGTCCTTTGGAAGGAGACTGCCGACGCGCTTTCGGTGGTCGGTTGCAATACCGAGTGTTGTTTTCTCTATGCCTTTGGCCATTATGGCTGCTCTGCGTGCGTTTGTTGCTTGGCACCATATGAAGGATGCGAGCGCTGTGAAGTTAGAGATACGCTGACCAGTGATAGACGAGAGTGAGGCCGCCAGCTTCGATACTGTAGGCGCCGAAAATACAAGTAGTTTGGCGCTAACGTTGAACGGCGTGTCGCGCAGCGGCGGAGGCATGGGATCACCTGGGAATCGAAATACAGAAAGGTTCATCGGCTTTGCGTCCGCTATCAAGGTGTCCAACGCATGCCGCGCAGCACTCAGCTCATGGACGTTGGCTTGTCGCGTGCTTGTCATTCCTCTGTCGTAGCTCCGAGTGTTTCCGCTCCATACTTCATAAATTGTCGCGATTCCGGTACCGTCAACGACGCAGTGATGCGTGTATGCGCTCAAGACGAGTCCGCCCGGGATGAAGTTTATTTGTGCAGCGAAGACAGGTATCGGCAGTTTTTTCGAAAATGTTGTAAGGACCTCAGCATATGTGTCATCAATCCCGGGGTGCGATCGCATCGCAAATGGGCATAGGTCGTTAGCAGGTAGCCTGAATGGCGGTATGCCAGCTTCACAAAGTGACTGATAATCCATTTCCTCCCTGTCCAGCGTATTGGTAGTAAGTAGCCTTGACACGAGTTCCGAGTCGACCGTCTTAGGATATCGTACAGTCATAGCGCCAGTAGCAGGATCAGTCTGCTCAACGGTTCCAACGAGGAAGGGAAACTGCTTGAATGTTGCCAGCAGTGCAGCAGCCAGTATTGCACTAGCATCCTTCCTAAATGCTGGATCAGGGAACGGGAAGATGAGTAGCTGGCGGACGTATACGCGGAGTACTGTCTGATCGAGCCTCGTAAGGTCGAGCGTTTCTACGGCATTCGTCATATCGATGGTATAAGCACAGTTCGTGCGTTCGCAATAGTCTCCAATAAGATGAGGGCACTCGTCGAGCACTGTTGTTGCAAGTAGTGGTGAAGGAGAAGCTCAAATCAAGATGATGATTGAGGCGTGAGGAATATTCTTCTCGAAGGGCGCAAGGGCGGGAGGCCTAGGCCGAAATTGCAGTAGGTTGCTTCCGCTGATCATTATAAATGAAAGTCCGGGGAAAGAAACCCGATTCGCGCGCCCCGTACCAACTCTTCACCTGCAGAGATCGGTATGAATGTGCATGTCGAATGCTGTCAAGAGCACCTCAGGTAACTTGGTAGTTCCGGTTCGCAACGCCCGACCCCGCCTTCCTCTGCACATCATATGACGTCACCGTCCTTTCTCGACGCATATCGTACTCCGACCATGTAACATTACACCTGCGCACCTTCTTGAATTATAGAAGCTGCTGTACATGCGGGGTGAGGCCATCAGCACTGGTCATCGTCCTATACATAAGAGCCGGTCGATGCGCGACCGCCGCAGCTGTCGCATAGTATCGTGCAGCCCACAGAGACGCTCCGAGATTTGATCTCATGGTGCAAAAGCTCCCCGGTGTTGCAATGTTAACGCTTGCGAAACTCGTAGCAGCCCAAGACATAGACCATGCACGAGACGTGAATCCATTCATTGGATCTGAAGGCGTTATCCCGGGCTATGCTTGTAAGCGCTACTCCAGACATACTTATCGTGTTAACAAGGGTAGATGGCGGAGTTGATGTCTTAGTTGGGGGTGCAGTACCTTTTGGAATGATAAAGCTTGGTCTCGACATTTACGAAGAACCCATCAACCAAAGCGCGCTGAATGGAGGATGGACTCTGCAAGGTTACGTTACCGGCCTCAGTCTGATGCATGAGTCAGGAACTGGAGGCGGAGCAAAGTACGGCTTCCCGGCGCAAATGCCTTTGACTTCGATCGATGGCAATGTGAACTTGCTGGATAACAGGACGTATTGGCAGAGGAGGGTGGGTTAGGGAGATACAAAGCCTTCACCTCAGATTACAAATCGTGCTAACCAGCGAACAGGAGGGAGAAGATGTCGCAAGCGTGGGGTACTTTCGCACGAAGTTCGAGTCTGGAGTGATAGTCGAGCTTTCGGCATCTCACCATGCCGAACTACATCACTATACATATCCAGCAGCATCAGAGACGCACGTTCTGGTCGACTTCTCACGCTACCTTCCTCATCCTATTCGCTCTTGGGATTCACAATTTTACACCGGCGGCGTAATCAAGATCCATTCAAATTCTAGCACCTACACTGGATACACTTCGATTGCAGGAGGCTGGTGCATTGGTGCGCCAGTGACTGTGTACGTCTGCGGAATTTGACACGGCACCCAACAATGTCAAAGCTTTCAAAGGAAAGAACACGTTCCCGGCCAGCCGCCATTTCCGCAGCTTCAACAGTGCAACCACCCCCTTACCTACATTTACGGGGAGCAGTGATCGTTCTGGACCGCTGAACGATCGTGTCGGTGCCGTCTTCACACGGAACTATGTCACAGGACAAATCGAGAGTGGGAGTCTCTTTCATGTTGGTGGGCAAAGCTTGCGCGTACAGAGACGCCGAAATGTCAACTTGGTCGATTGAAGACACCATGCAGGCAGCGCGCGATGAATGGAACTGGGACGTGTTCTCCAAGATTTGCGTAAACACATCAGCATCGGCGAACAGAACGAGGCTGGCATTGCTGTACTCAAGCTTGTACTTCATGCATCTCATACCGAGCGAGCGCATTGGCGAAAACCCTTTGTGGGAGAGGGATGAGCCTTACTGAGACGACTTTTACACAATTTGGGATTTGTTCCATAATCGAGTGTCATTGTGGCACCTCATCCAGCCATCGTACTACGAGTCGATGCTAAGGCCGTTGATCGATATCTTCAGACACGAAGGCTGGGCACCAGACGGTCGATCAGGGAACTACAACAGCCTAGTTCAGGGTGTTTCGAACGCCGACAACGTCTTCCCTGATGCGTATGTGAAGGCCTGAGAGGGAACATCAACTGGACCGAAGGTTATGCTGCAGTCAGGAAAAACGCAGAGGTGCTGCCCTACTTCGACGAGAACCCAGTCAACTCTCGAGACTTACTAAAAGAAGGCCGCTCCGCACTGGATGACTGGATACCACTTGGTTACGTGTCTGCGGACCATAAATTTCGCGCCGTCTCGAAAACAGTAGAGTACTCCCTGAACGATTTTGCCGTCAGTCAAGTCGCCGCCGGCGAAGCATCAGGCGACCGTGACCTATACAGCTACTTCAACAAGTAGTGGAAGAGCGTCGAGCGCCCACGGCAGCTGGCTGACGACTTTTACTTCAACACTAGTGTGCAGGAGCGTTGAACGGTTGGTTAGTATGGCAGATGCTAGGCTTATATCCGATTCTCACTACTCCTGTGTGTATCTGATTGAGAGTCCGTGGTTCGAGGATATCAATATTACAATCAACCATGATAAGATGTTGCGGCAAACGTAGCCGCTGTATATCGATGGAAAACTGCGCTGAGTTGATTGTTAGCTAGGAGGCGACCATATATACATGCCCTGAGACGTGCTAGTCCAAGGTAGTCAACTGAGGTGACAATCGAGGCCTGTCGGACCGACTTGCACCGCAACATAAGACGTTGTGGATCAGGGCTACAGGTCTTGATGATGGAGATGGCAGGCAAGGGTACTTTGTGCAAAATTTAAGCGTTAATGGGCAAGTGTGGGAAAAGAACTGGTTCAAGCATGAGGATACGGGAGAGATCATGACCGAAGGGGGTGAAATCGTTTTCATACTCGGTAGTAAGCTGGCGGTGTGGGAGACGGGTGATGTGCCTCCCAGTCCGGGCCACATTAGTTTAAATGTCGGGAATGGTATTTAATAGTGGATTAATTAGGTGTTGCCTCGGAGAGCTGGATGGGCGAAACGTAGCATTGCTTATTCGACTCCGACCGCCGCAGCTTCCTCAGAAGCCCCTAAGATCGATACAATCAGGTCCCTTGGTTCCAACTATCGAGCTCTCACAGTTTGTACCTGATGTACAACTTTACCCGGCAACCTAAGAGCCGAAGTGATGTACGAATCAGGGCATGGCACTGCTGTCGTGAGTCAATCACAACACTAGGCACTCGCTGGAAGCCTCGATCATACTCGAAGCTGACACCCAGAATATTGATCCAGTTGAATCTCTGCCTGAATCCGGCCAACCCAGCTTCTGGCACAAGCACAACAGGATCGCCACTCAAAATTGAGAGTTTTCGCAGATCTATCTTGCCCTCCATCGCATCGCACGCTATACGACCAAGGTAGTCGTGCAACGTACCCCAAGTTCCGTCGAAGTATCGCTCGAAGCTGGCAGTCGATCCTTGCGGATGCGGCTGCATTGTGACTGCTATAGAACGTGTGTTCGGTGGAAATAGCGTGACGAAGGAGAGCGCCACGGCATCCATGATTGTCCTCGTCTGTGGTAGCAGTGGGGGTAGATTTGGCGGAAAATACGGCTGAGGGAGTTGTAGAATCATATCTACATGATATTTCTCTGCCGAGTAGAAGAGTGTGACATATTGGTGACTATCGACTGCGAGCTGCTGGAGGGACGTCATCTCGTGGGTGAAAGCCTTGCGCGACTCGTGCTCCAGTTCGTGGTTGATCTGGCGGCAGGTCTGGCGGAAAGCTCGATCCACTCGTGTGGGTTGAACGCCAGGTACGAGGTACGAGTAAATCTGCGTTCGAATCTCAGAAGGTAGTTCGAGGAAAGCGCGATGCTGTTCAGGGCGACGTGAGAGCTCTTGAGGTCCGGCTTCGTGGATGACAACTTCTTCAAGCGGTATGGCTGACGGTGTCAGGTCGTCCGTCTCTGACCGAAATCCGGCTCTCCATCGAGGGAGGTATGTGAGTGGGGGCCAAGCACGATTCAGAGCGCGAATTCGTAAATACCGCGCTACAAGATAGCAAAGTAGTATTGTGGACGTCACTAGAAGCGCACAGGCCAACGAGAGGAAAACCCTCTGCTTACTATGTCTCTGTCCGTCTTCTCCATCGCTGAACTGATTTTCGTCTGTCATCGTGGAGTTGTGCAATGTGGTTGAGTCTGATAGAGTTGTAAGATGGGAAGGTACGGAGGTTCAAGGTAGAACATCTTGGCTTTCAGGAGGGCTACAAATGTGCGAGTGGAAGCTAGTGAAAGCGTCGCGCTAGGAAATCGAGTGGCCGCAATAGGTGAAAGCGAAGGGAGGAAGTATGTAGTTCCTGAGCTTATCATAGGTACATGGAAGCTGTCGAGCCTCAGCCCATTTCATGTTGAGTCAAGAAGCGTAGATAAGACGACTTCCACCATTCTAGCATCCTTTAATCAACGATTTGATGTTGCGACCTCTTTACATTTATGGAGACATGTGCGATGGGCTTTCCGCGATTTGGTGGAGACACAACAGGTGTTTCGGTACGGTAGGCGACAAGGCTGGACGGAACAACAAACGACACTGCTGACAACATCGTCGCGTCGCAGCAATTTGAAACAGCTGGTAGCGTCACAGTAGATTCAGGATGATGCGAAGCAGGTTGAAAATAGCCCGGAGCGAAGTGAAGGTGCGCTGGCTAGCGTGTTTCTGTGACGGTTAAGAGGAGAAGCGGATCACGTGTTGTTGGCGGTGGTCTGGTGCTGCTTCCCCATGTTGTTGAGCACCTCTTAGGTACCGTGCCCGTGCGCGAAATGAGCCGCTTGGCTTCAATTCTAACCTTGTCAGCAACTGCAGCGTCAAGATTTTTGCGCAGCTGGGGCCAGGTATCGCTGTTGCCATGCTCTCCAATTTCTGCGTCTTTATCTGTAGTAGTCTGGCCAAAGGCCAATAAAGGATATCTACTTCCTAACAACTTTTGCTAAAAAGCATGCACAAGTTAACTAGACGTCTAGTTAACTGCGTAGATAATATATATCCAGCTTAAGCCAAGCCGGCTAAGCTAATGTAACCAGCTAGCTCTAGCTCTTCTTTAGCTTTGGAGTCTAGACCGTTACATTATCTTGTTATTGTGGGTAGTTGTTGAAGCGTTTTAGCACTGCGTCTGTATCCATTGGCCACACGCCTGTAGCTTAAACTCTTTATAATAACGTACTCTATAACGTACTCTAGGCTGGCGGAATGGGTATACTCTAACGTCCTTCGTGGGTACCCCCTAAAACTTTGTTAATAATACATGGATTCTAGCGAAATAGGGCTTAAAAGAAAGAGAAAAACTACCTCTACATTTCTGTAGTAGAGGGTTTTGT